CGTGAGAATTCCAGCTCTCATCAATGGTGTTAGCATCAAGTATCCTAATTCAGTTGTTATTGATCCTTTAACAATTAACTGAAGTTGATCTAATGATTTTAAGAACTCTTGAAGGGATTCCCTTTAATGGAATACTCTATCTTGGTGGCACACTTACAACAAGTCATATGGAACGTTGTTGATCACATGAAAGAAGTACCTGAAATTCGTCAAATTCATCCTCATGCGATGCCAAGCTCGTTTCTGGAACACAAGTCACAGAATCTTTGAAGCCTCTCAGGTTCCTAAGTTGAGCCACCCCCCCTACAGCAGAAATGCCCTTGTGTGTCTGTGTATCTCTGTCTGTGTGTATGTCTGTCTGTGTGTCTGTGTCTGTGTGACTGTCTGTGTTTGTGTGTCTGTGTCTGTGTCTGTCTGCCTCTCTTTACACAGGGCTCTACAAGGTTAGGGCTAAGAGCTGTTACCTACATCGGCTCATTTGAAAGCCTTTTTAATGTTATGAAAAACAAATGTGGAACAGGATGGAGCCATCTGTGGGCCAGCAATTTCATTTGATCAACTGACTATTTCGTTGACATCATTATGCAATACGAACATGTTTCAGACTCGAGTCATCCTAGGAATAATTGATCTCTATTTTCTATACCTCTTTTCATTGTCACTGATACACTATCCCACATCCTCTTGCTGTGTCTCATTTTCCAGTTCTCTCTCGCTCCACTTTCCACGCTCACTCCCTCTCCATTTGTGAATTATTCTCCCTCTCCCACTTTCTCTCTCTCTCACTACATCTCTACTTTCCCATTTTCTATGTCTTTTTGTTTTCATATCACTCACGACATACGTGTTTGTTTTCTCTCGGTCCACATTCACACCTCTTGTTTTTACCTCCCCTATCGAATTTATTTTTACGTCCCCCTCACTACCTGTCCTCACCCACCTCACGTGTATTCTTTTTTAATCTTGTCCCAACACCCTTTGTCTTTGTCTAATTTTTACTAACACTTCCAACCAATTCTTACCTCCCAACACTTGTTATTTCTTAACTCCCCCTCATTTTTTGTTCTTTCCTCCCACACACGTGTTCTTTCTTCCTCCCCACACCTGTACTTCCTACCTTCCCAACATCTGTTCTTTCTACCTCTTATAACTTCCCGCCCCACCAGCTCTTTCTTTTATCCTCCCCACCATTTCTTCTTGCCCCCAAATAGCTACTCTCGTTACCTCCCTGAATACCTGTTCTTCTAATTAAGCTCCTCTCCAGCTCTTCTTATTTTCATCCATGAAAGCTCTTTTTTCTTATCTCCCACCACACATGCTCTTTTCTTACCTCAACACCTGCTCTTTCTTCTTACCTCCCTCCACACCTGTTCTTACTTCCCTCTTCACTCACTTTTCCTTTACTTCACCAATTTTCGATTTTCGATTTTTTCCTCCCCCATGAGTATATTCTGTGTCAACTCTTGCTTATTTTTTTCTTTTCTTGCCTTTTTTCTCTTTTTTCTTCTATCCCCTTTTATAGAATCTAAGGCCTATAATTACGATGGTTATGGCTATTTAAATAAACAAAAAATCAGACTGGAAGAGTGCATAAATCCGGGGCGGAGAGAAGGAGAGGTATGGGTCGTCCTGGGAATTTGGAAGGAGGGGAAAAAATTAAGTTTTGTGTCAGAATGTTAGATAGGAGTCAGTGGAGGCAAGTGGTTTTTATGATTTAACGTGCTGTTGGAGTGTGAGCAAGGTAACATTTATGAAGGTATTCAGGAAATCCGGTTTAGCCGGATCTGACTCCTGGAAATGGTAAGTATACCGTCAGTACTCTGAGGGAGTGGTATGGATATTGCACTTTGGAGAGTCATCAGAGCTGTAATGACGGATCCCTTCTGACAAGATAATGATTGAATAAGTGACAGTGAATGTATTTTCTTTTTGTCCGGACAGTGCCACGGTTGGAGACAGCCGGAGTGTTAAAAATAAATAATAAAATTTAAAATAAACTGTAAAATAGATGACAGCAATTAATTCTTCTAAGATAATGGCATATTAATTAATACCTACGATACGACTAATAATGTAAATGATTCTAGACAGTATGTGGGGGAACTTAGCTGTCATTCCAACATTGCTCATTCAGACAGATATTAGGTAATAACGCAAAATCCTTGGAGACAGGTGTTCTTGGCCATGTACTGATATATACCTATCCCGAATTCGAAAGCTAGTGGTGTTGCAACCACACGACCCCCTTCAACATCCCCCTCCCCACCTGTCCAAAGCTGCACACGGAATACAGGTATAATACCAATTCAACCAAAACAATACTTGTATAGATAATAATACAATGTCAGTGATACAGACAATAATTTGGAAATAGGGTAATCTATGAGTGGAACAGTCTGCCTAGTAAGGTCATTGAAGCTAAAACTTTGGGTAGCTTCAAATTTAGATTAGATAAATCCATGAGTAAGAGGGGGGTTGAATTTGAGTGAGACTTGCACCTGAGTTAATACAGTTATAGAAGCTTATTCCTTGAGTAGCACTGAAAATGAATTGGTATATATTTTTGTTTAGTGGGTTTTGGTTTGAAAGACGTGCCTAGCATGGGCCAATAAGCTTGTAGCAGTGTTCCTCCATTCTATGTTCTTATTGTTTTGCTTGTTAAATAAGGAAGTAAGAGCGACTTCAACAAGGTTGTTACAGAAGGTAAACTATCATACATTAACATTAACATTCACGCTCCAGCAGAATGTTTTCTAATCAACATCGTCAGAGTTTAACTGATAATATTAATTTACTGTAAAAACGGCGTATGCAGTCATATAATTAAGTCAGATTAGCTACCATATAGCAGCAAGCTTAACATCTGTCATCAGTTTCTCCCCTTACATCAGGTTTCTCTCTCCCCTCCAACACATTTTCTCTCCTGTCAGCTTTATACATTCCATCAGCTTCCCCTCTCCCTCCTTTCAGCTATCTCTCTAGCTTCCATAAGCTTTATAGCTACCTTCAGCCAGCTTTTCTCCTTACTTCTCTCAGCTTTTTCTCTCTCACTTTTCAGCTTTCTTCCTCCATCCTTTTGACTCCTCCTCTCTCTCTCTCTTTCTCAACTTAGCTCTCTCTGTCCCTCCTACCAGCTTTCTCCTTATCTCGTGTAAACTTTATTCCTTACTTTAACTTCTATAAGTTTTATTACTTCCAATAGCTTTCTCTCTTTATTCCACATGCATTTTTTTTATCTCACTCAGCTCAGCTTCATTTCTCTCTTCCATAAGCTTTTCCTTTTTTCATCTCTCACCTTTCTACCTTATCTTTCCCCCCACGTCTCATCTATTTTTACTCTCCAGCTTTCACCAATCTTCCTCTCTTCTTATTCTCCCTCTCCTCAGTTTTTCCCAATCCATCTAACGCGACGGGCTGGAGTTTTGAGACTCTATGACCGCGGGTTCAATCCCGGCCGGGGGTATGGTTTTTCTTCTACTCAGGTTTGTCCCTCTCATTAACTTTCTTTTCCCCCTTACTGCTTTCTCTCTCTCTCTCTCTCTCTCTCTCTCTCTCTCTCTCAGTTTTCTTTATCAATTCCCAAAACTTTATTTCTCATTTTGGTTTTCTCTACCTCCTTCTTCACTATTTTACTTCTCGATCTCCTCAGCTTTCTTTCGTCTTTTCCATACCTTCTTCTTTCCCACCAGCTATTTAGTATACTTCCCTACCTTCATCTATATTTCTTCCATCCCTCATCTTTTTTTCATCCTCCCCTCATTATTTCTCTCATCTTTAACTTTTCCTTGCATAATTTTTCTTTGTCCTGTATTTCCTCTTGCCTTTCAATATTTTTTCTCCTTTTCCCTCACCTTTCTTCTCTAATCTTGCTCTCTCCATTCCCTCGACTGTCTCTCTCTTCCTTCAATCAGTTTTCTATCTTCCTTCCTTCAGCTTTCTCTCTATCTCTCCTCAGGTTTCTCCCACTTATCACTCATCTTTCTCTCCCATATCCAAGAAGTTTCTCTCCCCCTTCCCTCAGTACTTTCATCTCAGCTCTTTATTTCTCTCAGTTTTCTCTCTGTCTTCAAGCAGTTTTTTCTCTACCTCTCTTCTCAAGTTTGTGTCTCCCACCTCTTATCTTTCTTCATCCTTTGGCGTTTTATCATTTTTTTATTACACACGGTTTTACAAGGTTAGGTTCATGTTCCTAACTTAATTTACAAGCTAAGAGCTCTTACCTACATCTGTTCATTTGAAAGCTCCCATTCTCCCTTCTCTGTTTTTTATCGTTCTCTCTTTTACTTTCCCTTTTCTCGTCTCCCTTACCCTCTCATCTTCAGTCTCTTTATAATTTTGTTGATTATTCTCTGTTTTATTAGTCGTTCAAGTGTATTCCTCTCTCCACCTTTCATTGTTTTCATTGCTCCTCCCTCTCTCTCTTTCCAATGTTCTCAGTCTTCTTTACTTCCCTAATTCTATTGTCCCGACTTCTCTTCCCTTCCTCATTCCATTGTTCCCATTTTTCTTCCCTCCCTCTTTACATCATTTTTTTCATCTCTCCATTATTATTACATAAGGAACAACACTGCATAATTATTAATATATTCACAGGGAAGCGTAATAAACAGGAGTCACAGAGGGGCCTGGACACACAAAGTAATCAGTCTTGGTATAAGAATACGGGTTGAACATAAGTACAACACCATGTATCAAGATTCCTTTATCAGCATCAAGGTACCCACCCATGAAAGGTAAAACACTAGTCTTAGTAGTGCACACGGTTAGCTCTCAATCATTTGTTTCATTCATTTCAAAGCTTGTTAAATATGATATTGTGAAAAATTATGTGGATGAATTTTTAAAAGTGCAATCTTAAATTAACCTTTCACTCACATAACTGGGTAGAACTCTGGCACATCTAAAACAGATTATACTTACTGATGTACCTTGGAGACATGCGAGAGTTTAGAAACAAGAGGTCACCATATTATCCCAGCTCCCCAACTCATGTCTCGACCTTAAAATTTACGTGAACATATAGTTCCTGAATACTGATTAATAAAAGAATTTAAAACCTAGCTTATTTAATATATTTGTGGAATGTATATCTGTAACTCTAGACATTTCTTGTGTATTAACTATACAACGCAGTGCTTAAGTTACATTGTGGTATATCCTAACGCCTCCCTATAGGTAGGTACACAAGTATTGGCCAATAACTAGCTACCTTACCTGTTGTGCGAGACTTAAAGTCACACCGGGAGGAGAACATAAATTATTCACTCATTTCATGATCCCCAATTCTTGCCGATACACCCTCCATCGGCCTCGATTACCCACGTTCAAATTCTGATACAATTCCCAGTTATTGTATACGTTCCGCCATTGTCGATTCCTTCCCCGTCACTAAACGTTCAATCTTTTACACATACATCTGTTTATAAAGATATTTCCTGGTGTGCAACACATTTTCCTTATAAGAATATTAATTTACTCTAAATTACAACTATTTTCCCTCACTTAACTCCTTACAGGATTTATGGAAATTATAGATAATATAGGTTCTCATGTGACTTAATACTTTTCAAAAAGTCGCACTAAAGATACACACCTACACAATTTCAAACATTATTATCCCCATCAATTCTTACTCACAGGAAAATTATCAAAATTTTCCACAGATATCAATGATGCAAGTTGCAGGTGTTTTCCACATTCTTCATTTTTTTCTCCAATATTTTACTCTTAAAAAGTGTTGTTTTTAATTCCTAGACTGTTTATTTTCCTTTTTTTATTTTCTCTTTACGTCTTTTCCTCTGTTCTGTGTAACTTGATGTCTGTGCCAGAAATTTCTCTATTATTCCGAGGGTTTTCAAGCTTACGACTTTTTCCAATATTTATATGTTTTTCCCTGAAGCCACACGATCCTCGTGACAGTTATTCAATCTGCAATGTAAATAATTAAATACTTGAACATCTTTTAAACTTCCCACTGATACAGTCATCAGCCTGCAATGTAAACAAAGACTTAGATGTATATAATAAGGCATTTTAAAAGTCAAGAAGATTGAATTCTAAGTGCACACAATATTTCTGAGCTGAAATCGTGTGTGAGGTGCGCAGATAAACGATTGTTGACGGCAGCTCTTGTGTGATAAAACGTTCACCTTAGACCTTTAGCTCGACTGTCATATACAACTATTTTAAGAGGCAGTAAAATACGTGTTTTGGGAGGAGAGTCTGCATAATATGGCTGGATAAATGTGTATGCTTCTGGGAAGCTGTTTCTTTATTGTCGTGCTTGAGTCTTCCTTTGTTTTTCTTCCCTCTCTTTGTCTTTCCTCGTCACTTTGATAATTCATGCTTCAGTCCAGTTTGTCTCTGATGTGTTCGAGAAGGGTTAGTTAAACAGAAGGAACAATTATATCGTAAAGAACCAAGAGCTAATGATACCATGTATATTAATATTTACTAATATTTTCTTCAATATTTCATCGCTGCTGTGTGTGTGTTCCGCTGTAAAGAGTCTGACAGCAGGAGTCAGATGCTGCTATCATAGTGTCCTGAGTAGAAACCTTCCTGCTACGTAAAATAGTTTGTTCAAAGCGTAGCAGTGTTGTTTGATGACGATAATAACTTGCCTAACCTCTTGCCAGTCAAAAGATTTTTGTTTCCCTTTTAAATCAAGAGCTCTATTAATACTTCGTACAGTCTCTTCGTAACATTTATCAGCATTAAAATTCACCTCTTATAAATAATAAAACTGTTAGTAATAACGTTCTGCGCACATTCTATGTTGAGAATATTATTTAATAAACAAAAAGACGCAAAGAAAAGTTGGTTGGTGAAAATTTATCGTAAGTTTTTACCAATAAACTTTGAATATTTTCATCAATATGCTTTTTAAAATCTCAGTGAATAGTAATAGAACAAATATTATAACTTTTCTTTGAAAGATCAAATAATTCCAACAGCAGAATATGATTCTGTGAACTTTGTATAATTCGAAGGATTGATTATTCAAATAACAGGATAATATTAGTTAACAGTAAAACGGAATTGACCATAAACGTCACATTCACTTCTGCATCAAACAAGGAGGAAACGGGTTCTGAAAATCGTGAAGCTCTGCACCAACTCCTTTTCTCAGTTGTTAGGTAAGACACATATGCAACAGTTAGGTATCTTTATTTCGAAACGTTTCGCCTACACAGTAGGCTTCTTCAGTCGAGTACAGAAAAGTTGATAGAAGCAGAAGATACTATCAACTTTTCTGTACTCGACTGAAGAAGCCTACTGTGTAGGCGAAACGTTTCGAAATAAAGATACCTAACTGTTGCATATGTGTCTTACCTAACAACCTGTCGGTATTTTATACCATTTTAATGTCCTTTTCTCAGTTCTGAAGAAAACTGGAAAGGAAATGCCAGTTTTTCGTTTATGGAGGAATAACACACGCTTTGACAATCTATTTGCTTTCTTAGTATCTGTAACCTAAAACAATTTGGAAAAAAAAGTTCTTGGATTTCTAGTTAAATTTAGCTATTGTCGTGTTTACGAGAGAAGTATTAATATGAAGTACAAAACATGTACGCCGAATAAGCTATTATCTGAATGATTATAGCAATACACTTCATTTTAATTATCAGAAGCCATCACCACTACCATCATTCTTTTCTCAGAGGGGAATTCCTTCAATGGAATTGCCAGTAATGTAGTATAATCATTATTCACCATTCCTTCAAAATTTGATAAATCATTATACATGGCTTAAGCCTGTTATTTACTTTATTCTGTCAGCATGCAGGTCTGATTATGTTTTATGGTATATTTAAGTTATTTGATATTCCCGTAAGTTGTAAGAATCTTTATCATTTTTGCAGCTTTGCATAATAAATACATTTCTAACTGAGATACATTGTGTTGCCGAGTATTATAAAAAATATTACTAAAATGACGGTTTTCTGTTAGGTAAGATTACTTGAGTCTGTTGAATGACTCGATGATAGTTAACTACCGGTGTTAGTCGTCAAGTGATAATAGTCACTTTCTATTTGGAGTCACCTGCTGGGGAAATCACCTGCGTACATAAGTCACCTAATGAGGCTAGTTACATGTTGGACTGAGTTATCTGCTAAGATTAGTCTCCTGCTAGGAGGAGTCAACTACTAAGATGAGTCATCTGCTGAGATTAATCACTTGCTGCCAAGTCATCAATAGGTATATGAAGCTCTTGGCCACTTAAAAATACATCGTTCTTGCATTAACTGATGCACATAATTCCGTCTAATAATACTAGGATATTGATTCAGTTGTATAACCTTTTTCAGTTTAATAAGTGAAGTTCCTTCGACCGAAAAGTCCCCTCACTAAATATCCTAGTACTTATACGCTCCCTATTTTAATATGACTTAATCAAGCTTTACTCAGAATGAAACACTGTCTAAATACAGGATACAGAATTGCTCTGCACCCAAGTGTTTTTCTTCCAACACTCTCATGGATTTTAATCCTTAAATACAGAAAATATAGTTTTAGTTCCATGCTAAGTAAAAGGACACAAATGCAACTAATGTGACATTTTATTGTGGCAACGTTTCGCCCTCCAGGAGCTTTGTCAAGCCGTTACAAACAATACAAGCACATAACATGTAAAAGTTCCCTGCTAGCGAAACGTTACATAAATATAACTTTTAGAATATTGCTCATATATCTATTTACCTACCATTCTAGTTAGTTGAAAAACAAAAGAAATTGTCAATCCTTTCCGTCTATCAGGTTGGGATAAGTTACAGAAACACTAAGATGGTCACAACACCAGCATTCCAGTGTTCGACCCCCCAAAAATATATACATGTTATGTATCTTACACTTCAATATATAGAACACTCACATAAGACACTTTTTACGCTAACATACAACATATGTGTCACATTCCCTGTAAACAAGTCTGTTACAAACTTACCTGTAACGCCTTTATCACATACTCGCATGCATCTATTATTCACGCGTAAAACATCTTCCACGCACCTGTACCAGATCTGTCACATTCTCACATAGAACACGTTTCTCACATTCAACTATAAAACCTTTGTTATACTCACAGATATCTGTCACACACCTGTAACACGTGTCATAAATTCACATATAAAGCATTTGTTACATTACAGATGCTTTATATAAAAAGAGGAAGGGTTGCTGGACTTACCAATTATTACTTTGTTTCCCCTCTCTGGCCTGGAAGGAAGGTGCGCTAGAACAGAGAGTTGTTGATTCTGGAGGTGAGAAGTCTTAATTTCTACCCCTTCCACAGTGTTCCTTCCTTCTCTTCCTTTTTTACTGTCCCTCTTTCTCTCGCTCCCCACCATCCTAAAGAAAAGATGGGCACGTGTGAATTGGGGTGAAGGTAGTGTTGTCAGCTGAGAAACATTTCTCTCTCTCTCTCACATACACTTTTTTTTACACAATGTTTTACAAGGTTAGGTAGAGTTGTCAGTTGAGAAACATTGCTCTCTGTGTCGTGCGAATAAGCCGAACTGGTGAGTTTGGTCTAAAAAGCAAGGATATTCTTGCTGAGCATGTGTGAGATACACCCAAAAGCTGTTAGTTTCTTGGCTGCCTTCGTTGCAAGATTTGCCACGTGATTCTTTATAGATATTATGTACTCTAAATTCATACCTAGTGTTTCCACTTCATCTTAGGGCTCTAACGCTCTTCCATTACGTCTGCCTATAAGCCATCAACATTTCTGTTTTCTCAGAAACAAATGTAATCTACCATTTTTTTCTACAGGTCAATGTGCAGCCTGGTGAATGATGTGCTTTACAGCAGGTGGCATTTCCTCTCTTGCATAATAAAATACTATGAGGTGATGTAGGTCGAAGACATAGAAAAGACTGATTCAGGTAGCAAGAAGCAATATGAACCTGAATCTCAAAAGCATCATATCACTTTGAGCTCATACCTATGAAGTGTTATCTTCTCGAAATTATTAAGCGGACTAATCGTTTTCCTCGGTCTCCATAAGGTAACGAACCACCGCATAATCATGTAAAAGCAGATGGCTCTGCATGTTTTGTTTTTTTATCCTCTCTGAGAAATGAAGCACACTTGTCAAATGCTGAACAGGATACAGCAGGATACCCTTCAGGTATAATAACCGTCGCTTATCCCTCCTTAGTCTGAAATAAGTGGATAGTACATGGTCAAATTTTCCACAATAAACCATACCATGGTTGGGGTTAGAACCCGCGATCAGTCATAAAACTACAAACCGACGCGTTAGCCACTGGGCCAGGTAACCACAATAAGATTCATCCAACTAGGTATATTTATACACCATAGGAAGGTTAGCATATGCACCACTGGATGAATCTTATTGTGGCTAGCTGGCCCAGTGGTTAATGCGTCGGTCTGGAGTTTTATGATTCTCTGATCGCGGGTTCTAACCTCGCCCGTGGTAAGGTTTGTTTGCAATCGTGTCATTACGATTTCGTGAGTCATATTCCCACAATAGTAACACTGAGAATTTCGAAAACATCGTCGGTATTATGTAACTTGTGTAGGAGGGAGAGAGGTTGTTGCAAGGAAGCCTTGGTAAGTGGAAGCATTATACCTTCGTATGTGGATCAGGATTCCGAGAACCCTGAGGTACAACACCATTACCTGAATATCCTTTAGGCGAGGGATTACAGAATCTGTGATACAAATATCAGGTGAGGGAGTATTAATGGCAGTGAAGTGCGCCACACACATGTCAAGTCACCTCTCCCGCCTCTGCAACTAAAACAACCTTCTTTTCAAGAATTGTGGAATGGACTGGGTATTACCTGGAGAGAGTTTCGGAGGTCAATACCCCCGCGGCCCGGTCTGAGACCAGGCACACACTTTTATATTCAAGTACTATTAAATCAAACAACTATCCACAACATTTACAACCCACCACCAGTGAATTAGATCAGTCTTTTAACTCTATCATGAAGTGAAGAATAACAGAACACACAAACATTTACTTTTTGGTTTTTTGTATACTTTGAATATAAAATCATATCTGAATTCAATTATAACTAAAAAAATGTGTCTGAAATAAGCCAGAAAATATTTATGTATAATAATGCAAAATAGTACATGAAAACTACAGTATAGCAGAAAAGAAATAATTCATGCAATTAAAGTTATGAATATAATGGGTAATCTGCGTATCCTTATTATCAGTTAAACTCAGAAAAGGCAAAAACGTGTTATTCGCAAAAATTACATTATAATAAGAGTCTTTGGTGACAAATCGTGAGAATTTTTTCGGAATTAAATTAACTTGTTAATTATTGATAAGGAATTGGAGAAATGGATGGTAAAAGAGAGAATCAGATTACATGAATTGGGTCTGAAGAAATAATCATTTTTAAGTTGTTGGAGGATCCAGGAGTACTAAGGAAATATGTGAGGCAGTGAAAGCACTGAAATGGTACAATTTTCATGCCCTCGGTCAGACGAGGGACTTCAGAAGAAGCAATCACCTTACCACATAGATACTGGAGCTCGCAATATTCCCTAAAATGGATAGGTGAGGTCTCACGGGAACAACGGCATTGAAAAGGCTTTCGGTGAAATTTTAGTATAATTTGACTATTATTTAAAGAATTTTAGTGACGTCTGTCTGCGATGTGTATTATGATTTATATATTATACCTGACAAAAGAAAAAAAACACGATTCTTCAGAAGAATGCTTATATAATATTTAGCTGAGATTCGTTCATCTTATCTTGCGAAGGGAGAGAGGTATTATCTTGCGGAGAGGTATTATCTTGCGAAGGGAGAGAGGTATTATCTTGCGAAGTGAGAGGGAGAGGTACTATCTTGCGAAGGGAGAGAGAGAGGTATTATCTTGCGATGGGAGAGAGAGAGGTATTATCTTGCGATGAGAGGTATTATCTTGCGAAGGAAGAGAGACGTATTATCTTGCGAAGGGAGAGAGAGGTATTATCTTGCGAAGGGAGAGAGAGAGGTATTATCTTGCGATGGGAGAGAGAGAGGGATTATCTTGCGAAGAGAGAGAGAAGGGTATTATCTTGCGATGGGAGAGAGAGAGATATTATCTTGCGATGAGAGAGGTATTATCTTGCGAAGGGAGAGAGAGGTATTATCTAGCGAACGGAGAGAGAGGTATTATCTTGCGAAGGGAGAGGTATTATCTTGCGAAGGGAGAGAGAGGTATTATCTTGCGAAGGGAGAGGTATTATCTTGCGAAGGAGAGAGAGAGGTATTATCTTGCGAAGGGAGAGAGAGAGAGGTATTATCTTGCGAAGGGAGAGAGAGAGGTATTAACTTGCGAAGGGAGAGAGGCATTATCTTGCGAAGGGAGAGAGGTATTATCTTGCAAAGGGAGAGAGGTATTATCTTGCGAAGGGAGAGAGGTATTATCTTGCAAAGGGAGAGAGAGAGGTACTATCTTGCGAAGGGAGAGAGAGAGGTATTATCTTGCGATGGGAGAGAGAGAGGTATTGTCTTGCGATGAGAGGTATTATCTTGCGAAGGGAGAGAGAGATATTATCTTGCGAAGGGAGAGAGAGGTATTATCTTGCGAAGGGAGAGAGAGAGGTATTATCTTGCGATGGGAGAGAGAGAGGGATTATCTTGCGATGGGAGAGAGAGAGGGATTATCTTGCGAAGGGAGAAAGGTATTATCTTGCGATGGGAGAGAGAGAGATATTATCTTGCGATGAGAGAGGTATTATCTTGCGAAGGGAAAGAGAGGTATTATCTAGCGAACGGAGAGAGAGGTATTATCTTGCGAAGGGAGAGGTATTATCTTGCGAAGGGAGAGAGAGGTATTATCTTGCGAAGGGAGAGGTATTATCTTGCGAAGGGAGAGGTATTATCTTGTGAAGGGAAAGGTATTATCTTGCGAAGGGAGAGGTTATATCTTGCGAAGGGAGAGGTATTATCTTGCGAAGGGAGAGGTATTATCTTCCGAAGGGAGAGGTATTATCTTGCGAAGGGAGAGGTATTATCTTGCGAAGAGAGAGGTATTATCTTGCGAAGGGAGAGAGAGGTATTATCTTGCGAAGGGAGAGAGAAGTATTATCTTGCGAAGGGAGAGAGAGGTATTATCTTGCGAAGGGAGAGAGAGGTATTATCTTGCGAAGGGAGAGGTATTATCTTGCGAAGGGAGAGGTATTATCTTGCGAAGGGAGAGAGAGGTATTATTTTGCGAAGGGAGAGAGAGGTATTATCTTGCGAAGGGAGAGAGAGGTATTATCTTGCGAAGGGAGAGGTATTATCTTGCGAAGGGAGAGGTATTATCTTGCGAAGGGAGAGAGAGGTATTACCTTGCGAAGGGAGAGAGAGGTATTATCTTGGGAAGGGAGAGAGAGGTATTATCTTGCAAAGGGAGAGAGAGAGGTATTATCTTGCGAAGGGAGAGAGAGGTATTATCTTGCGAAGGGAGAGAGAGGTATTATCTTGTGATGAATGGTTTTGAAAACCGACAAGTTGAAGAATTGAGACACTTATGCAACACATGGGAATCTTTATTGAAGAAACGTTTCGCCACACAGTGGCTTCATCAGTCCAATACAAAGTAGAAGTGGGTAAGGAGAGTAGAAGTTCGAGGTAATCAGTCCCTCAACCTGGATTCGATGTGTTCAGTCCAGTGATAGACTGAACACATCGAATCCAGGTTGAGGGACTGAATACCTCGAACTTCTACTCTCCTTACCCAATTCTACTTTGTATTGGACTGATGAAGCCACTGTGTGGCGAAACGTTTCTTCAATAAAGATTCCCATGTGTTGCATAAGTGTCTCAATTCTTCAGGTATTATCTTGCGGAGGGAGAGAGAGGTATTATCTTGCGGAGGGAGAGAGAGGTATTATCTTGCGGAGGGAGAGAGAGGTATTATCTTGCGAAGGGAGAGAGAGGTATTATCTTGCGGAGGGAGAGAGAGGTATTATCTTGCGGAGGGAGAGGTATTATCTTGCGGAGGGAGAGAGAGGTATTATCTTGCGGAGGGAGAGGTATTATCTTGCGGAGGGAGAGAGAGGTATTATCTTGCGAAGGGGGAGGTATTATCTTGCGGAGGGGAGAGAGAGGTATTATCTTGCAGAGGGAGAGGTATTATCTTGCGGAGGGAGAGAGAGGTATTATCTTGCGGAGGGAGAGGTATTATCTTGCGGAGGGAGAGAGAGGTATTATCTTGCGGAGGGAGAGGTATTATCTTGCGGAGGGAGAGGTATTATCTTGCGGAGGGAGAGGTATTATCTTGCGGAGGGAGAGGTATTATCTTGCGGAGGGAGAGGTATTATCTTGCGGAGGGAGAGGTATTATCTTGCGGAGGGAGAGGTATTATCTTGCGGAGGGAGAGAGAGGT